CACTCCCCCCCATGTTTGGCTGCCCAGGTGGCAGCCAAACATGGAGCCCACAGAGGGGAGCTGCTGCCCTTGCCCCCGCCCCAGGAGGCAGCAGGTGGGGGGTGGCACTCTGTCCCCACCTGTCTGCCCGCGTGTACCCCCTAACCCCTTTCCAAGTACCCCTGGGGGTACACATACCCCCCCGGTTGACAACCTCTGGATTAGACCAATACAAAATTCGAATGTGTATTTCCTTTTGCAACCAACTGCTATTTAACAAACAGCTCATTCTGATTCACTTCTAAGCACCATCTTTATCTGGTCACTGATCCAGAAAGGCTTATGTTAGGATATCAATGAACATAAGGCAAAATACAGCATTTGCTCGACAGAAATACTGTGAAGTTACAAAACTGGTTCAGTTCTAACCTCGCTGAACATGCACAGCTCAGCCTGCTCTCAATACAGACCACGCGCAAACAGCTCACATAGAACAGGACATAGGCACAATGTTGGCCAGTATTAACAACATCTAATTATCGAGGACCTTGCAGCTACAGAAATCCACACAGTGCAGTGCTGAGTTAGGTACCCAGGGCCAGATCCAAATTGTTCTCGTAAGTACCTAAACAGGACTTGAAGAGTGGGCTTCAGATGCGAAAGTCACAAGGAGTATTTTAAAAAGTTGGACATGTACAAGTCCCTGGGGCTGGATGCAACGGACCCAGTGGTGCTTACGGAGTTGGCTGATGTGATTACAGAGCCACTGACCATTATCTGTGAAAACTTGTGATGATCAGGAGAGGTCCCAAACAATTGGAAAAGGGAAAACATAGTGCCCATCTTTAAGAAAGGGAAGGAGGAGGATCCAGGGAATTACAGACCAGTCATCTTCACCTTAGTCTTGGAAAAATCATGTAGCAGATACTCAAGGAATCCATTTCTAAGCACTTGGAGAAGGTGATTAGGAACAGTCAGTATGGATTCACCAAAGGCAAGTCATACTTGACCAACCTGACTGCCTTCTATAATAAGATGGCTGGCTCTGTGGATGTGGGGAAAGCAATGGACTTGATATACCTCAACTGTAGCAAGGTTTCTGATACAGTCTCCCACAACATTCTTGCAAGCAAGCTAAGGAAGTTTGGGTTAGATGAAGGGACTGTAAGGTGGACAGAAAACTGGCTGGATCATTTTAAGACCTGGCTAGACAAAACTTGGGCTGGGATAATCTAGTTAGTGATGGTCCTGCTTTGAGCAGGGGTTTGGAATAGAAGACCTCCTGAGGTCCTTCCAACCCTAATTTTCTATGATTCTGTGAAATAATCCAGCTTGACTCCATCTAGCTGCTGCAAAACTGTTTTGGTATCTAAATTCAGTAGATGCTGCCATCTTGGCCTGCAAAGGGCTCTGGGAGTCTTGACTTATCTTGTGAGCTGCACAAATGTTGATCAGTACTAGTGTTAGCCTGGAGTTTGGAGCAGTCATATCCTTAGTCTAGAAACCTTAAATGACTGTCTCCCACCTGCACAGCTGTGACTTGCCACTACAGGCCTGGTGAGCAGAGGCAAGACTAGGAGCCATAGCTGTGAGATGCCACTAGTGGGCTGGCGTGCCAGGAAAGGCTTCTGTCTCTGCTCTGTGGGCGGGTGTGTGAGAGATCCTGGGATACTGGAGGACTTCAACTTGGGTGGCACATCTGAGGAGTGACCACACCTTAATGGAACAGGAGCTAAGTAGTGTGGATCAGAGATAATCCTGTCCTGGAGTGGCATAACTTTAAGGCGTTAATGTGTGGACAATCCAGGGGTCAAGAGCTCCATGAGCCACCTAAAATTACTGTGTAACAAGGCCCTTAGGCTACTGCACGTGCTCAAAAGCAAAATCAATCAGAATCAAACAGTATCAGTGCTGGGAGGATCCTAACATCTTAAATCACTGAGTACTTAGACAGGCAGAGAGTAAGTTTAGGGACTGTCTGATGCATGCAGTTCATTACAAGATGCAGATAATAGCAATGGTCATGCCATTTTGCACAGTAGCCAGTGGTTAGAGCTCTAACCCAAGGAAGAGGAGATGGGTCTGGGGCTTCAAAAGGGAGCCTGTGAGGAGGTCTCACACCCACATCTTCCACTTCCCAGATGAATGCCCTAACTACCAGGCTATAGGCTAGTCTGGGTGGAGGACTCCTCCCCTCCCTCTGTATCTGCTCCCTTCCTGTTGCAACTGGCCCACTAGGCAACCAAGAATATACTATTCATGTGAGGACAGAAGGAGAGCAAGCAAGAAGGGACCCAGAGAGGAGGATACTCCTTTAGGAAGGGAAAAATCCTCAGGTCAGGTCCCTCATGCCAGAGTGATTTTGTTTTTTTAGCCCATGACTGTTGAATGTAAAATGCATACATAGTCCTTGGTGCATGGATAAACCCCCGGACTCCCCAGTACCAAGGAAAACTCTCTTTATTAGGCTTCCCCTCTGGCTTGTTTGGGAGGGTGCTGCACTTCACACTGACCTCAGTGCTACTGTCCTGGTTCATACAGACATTTCCTCCATGTACTCTGTGACTGTCATATAATACTTTGGTTATGCCATGACACAGGCAGAAATCCTAGTTTCTCTTCCTCTCTATAGATAGCCATCAGATAACTCTGGGCTTGGTAACCAGCAAACATTTTTTAAAGAGGGGCTTTTGTTACCAGAAATTTCCTCATCTGAAGTCAATATAAATCATACTTTGCCTCATATTTCTATCAACAAACATGCAAAGATATATGCTGTAAAAAGAAATGCATGACTTAGCACTTTGTATAATGTTGCACCATAAATTAAACATTAAGGTCTTCTTCCTCAGCTTTGTGTTGTATATTTCAGACAGCCATGTGTTAGTTCCTTTAAATGTAGGTGGCCACCCTCTTTCAGTCTGCTTGTATAAATTAAATATTGCATTAACACAGTTATTTCTAATTACGGACAGCATCTAAAATATCCCTTCTCCTGGAATGACCATTTTATTAAAACAATTCTGCTGCATAAAAGCAGAATAAAAATAAATAAGGAACAAATTTCTTTCATTTCCAGGTGATGATGACCTTGATTCTCTTTCCACATTTTCATGTAAGGAAAGAAGTCATTAAGATATTAGTCATGTAGAATCAGTGTCAGTAAAAAGAGAATCAGCCCCCACCCCAGGGTTCCCTCCCTGTTTCAAACATCCCAAGTACAAGATCTGGATACTTGGAATCTTGAGAAATCAATCAGCGTGCTTGAACTGCAACCTATTATTGCCCTCATATTTAATTCAGAATTATTGTCCACTGATGCTATTGGGCTTAGAACACAATGCTCCAGTTGGTGCAACCTAAACCAAAATGAAGGCATACCTTCCATGACCTGTGGTTTCTGTGATCCACATTTCTTTATTAGAAATAAAATGGGCTATTTTTTCCTAGTGCCCATTAGATGCAATCTTCAAGCTCCTATCAAGCCAAAATTGTGCCCTCTCATATGCACAAAGAATTACAAGGGAAGCTGGTAGGGATCCTTATATTTTACTGTCCAGCACTTACTTTCCAATTATATAGAATGCTTGCAATCTTCTCTCAGCTCTTACACTTGCATTAGTTGCAGCAATTTAACAGTGAGAAAGGCCTTGAGCTATAGAAGTACCTTTCTTTTCTAGGAAATTCCATGTTTAGCTGAGCTATGAAGGTTACCATTTCCATCTTCCCATTGCATTGTTCAGGATTATCTTGACAGTTTACCAAAAGTGTAACTAAATGCACTGATATTCTAATGAAATAACCCAAACTGCTGCCAACAGAGCAGCTACTGGTAACTCCTGCTAGAGCAAGTATGGCAGGGGACACTACATGTGCAAGCCCAACCCATCTGGGGAGGAGACCACTGCCTCTCACGGACAGAGAGAGGCAGGCAGGTATGGGTGTCATCTGAACCCAACAACCAGTCCCATTCTGGGCTGATAGCTTTCTGCTGATGCCAGCTAAGTCCTGTAGCACATGTGGTGGTAGAAGTCTGCCAAGCACTACTGACATTTCAGAGTTCAAGCCCTACTATGAAGCATAATAGGGCTATTTGTATTACTGTCTGAAAAAACATTATTTCTCCTTATTTCTATTTTTTTTAAATCAGGAAAGCACATTCAGAATCACAGTAAGAGATTACTGAGGTTGCTAAGTAAAGCATCCAAAAAGTTAGGATGTGCTTGCTTTATGGTTGCTGGTGCAACTGCCTCCTTGTGTGCGTGTGCATTATGATATAATCTTTAAGTACACAAGCACAGCTTTTTCTCTGCCTCTGTCACCGAACAAACTGGGTCTCTCTAAAGGGGACAGGGTTAAAGTCATGTGAGTAATGGCACAGCTCACGGTTGTCAAACCCATCTGGCCCCACACGCTGGATGATTGGAGTGGGACTGGTCCACAGGCCAGACAAACAGTGTGGGGCTAGTCTTGCAGGTCAGATCAGACCCACAGCGCTGCCTCCCCATGCTGGATCCAGTGCCTGCGGCACCCGCTCTGGTCAGTCTAGGTAGGTGCTGCATGCAGTGCAGGTCTCAGGCCTGGTGCACAGGGCCAGTCTGGAGTATTGTAAGTTGCCTGTGGGTCAACTCAAAATCCAGGGCCACCATGGGGGGGCTGGATGATAGAGCTCTGTGGGCTGAATCTGGCTTGTGGGCCATATCTTTGACACATCTGGTGTAGCTCATGCTTCTCAACTTTCAAGCCCTTGACTTTGCTGGCTAGAAATGTTCCTCTGAGAACTCCTTTTTAAACTGAATTATTGAGTTGACCCTGTTTTGCCATATCTAAAAAACTTCAATGGTGGATTGTTGATTTTTTTTAATAATGGACACTTAACTACAAAGATACTATTTGATGGCTACCAGTGGCTAATGCATGATAGGAAAATTGACAATGACACTGTGGTGATGGCTGCCAGTACGAAACCTTAAAACGGACACATCTCATTCTAGTCTTCAGCAGAGAGGATGAAGCTACTGACATTCAGACTTTTTATGATAAGCTCCTGTTAAACAAGGAAAAGGTGACAGAAAATAAGGGCTTTGAAAATGCTTTTCTTTTCTTGTCTTTTGACAGGCATCTCATTTGAAGTTACTTACTTCCTTTTTGGGTTCCACACTTTGATTACGTCGTCCTTTCTTTGCTCTTGGTTCCTGAGTAACCTTCAGCTGTGAACATTATGAAAAGAGTATTCTTTGTAAAATGTTTGAGATGCATGGTGTTTATAAGTAACATAAAAAGGTATGGTGGTCAAGATTCAAGGCATCTCACTGGGGTGTAGCATCAGCAAGCACAAACCGTGATGCTGATGCTACTGGTTCGTATAGCATCGTCCAGTAGGGTTGGAAATGACCCGTGCGGCACCAGGACTGTGCAGTACCAGTGGTTACTGCGCAGTCATTTAGTACTTGCTTTAAATGCTAAAGCAAGTACTAAATGTCTGCACAGGTGGGTACACATGTAGCTGTGCCCACTATGTACCTAAACGTAGATGCTATCCTGCTGACTTCTGAGGAAGTGGAAAGCCTGGGTTACCTTAGCTTTCAAACCAAACCTCCACCTTTCCAAGAAAGTGTTCTAATCACCAGATTACAGATTGAGGGATTAGTGAGGTCATTTTTCATCCCTCCTGTTGAAACCAGGCCACTGGCCAGCCGAGAGTGCAAGAGGTATGAGGCACAAACAGCGCTGGGAACAAGAAAGAGGTCCATGGAGTGGTGGGGGCCTTCCTCCCCTCCCCCAGCAAAGAGGAAATAGTACTGGGTTCTAGTCCATGTTTCCCAGTGCTATTTATATTGGATCTGCCTGGGCTTTGGACAGCAAAGTAAACCTTAGTAAGAGTAAGGGAGGGTGCGTTTAGGACTCACTTTTGTTTTATACTTTTTAAATCACTTTCAACAGCTCTGTCAAAGGATCCCAAAGATATCCCAATATGGTTCAAACCTAGTTGGTGATGTGGTTAGTTCCCAAAGGACAGTAGCCAAAGCCTAAGAATGAGTCAACTATGGACTTCCACCCCAGGGAGTCCTGGCACCCTGTAAGATCCTAAGACGTGACAGGAGTGGAGCTAGCCCAATAACTGCAACAATACTTATTTATTTTTAAGGATGTTGGCTCATTTGATTGAGTTGTTACAACCTGCAAGCTTCCTACAGGTCTTCCAAAAAAACCTCACAAATGATAAAACCTTGCAATACAAATCAAGGGGCAAAAATAACATCTGAGCATTTCTCATCATACTGCAGTCCATAGCTTTATAGTCTAATGCTTTAAAAATCCACTGCAGGTCATCTTTCCAGCTTCTAACACACTGCCCTTTCTGCTGACATCCCAGGGGCACTCACCTGCTCATTGCTGGTGGAGGAGATACTGGACTCTGCCTCCTCCTCCCCTTTGTCCTCATTCTTAGACTTCCAGAATCTCCCCTCACGAAGAAAACGCTGGTGCAGCTCCAGCTCATCACAGGCTTTTTTCCAGCCCATGCTGCGCTTCACATGCAACCGGTGAATATTAACTGTGATATCCTGAATGTTTTCTGAGGGGATCCAGGCCCTTTTAAATACAATTTTAAAAGTGCATTCAGATATCTGAACTGTAAGAATGTGTTAATATTTATTTTTAAAAGATTTATGGTGAGCTTTCCTGAGGAGTTAAGTGCTGAACTAACTTAGCTCCTACTGAAGTCCTAGTACTGAGTCCTTTTGAAGTTCCCACTGTGCGTTCCTCCAAAGGTGTTGTATCAGCAGCTCTAGTGACAGAGGTCAGCATTTTCAAAGCTCTTAAAGCTAATCCCACATCCATATTTCGGAACCTACCTTGTAACCATTTCTTCAGAGGGACTAATCATCTTTAGCTCCCCACTGACACTAGTGAGATGTGCAGGTATTTAAGACTTGAAAAATCAGGCCATTTACAGTTAGGTGCCTAACTGATTTTAGGAGTTAAAGTGAAGGCACCCTGGCTTGGAAACTGTGCCTTTACTTTACTGAGCTACAAAGCAGGTATAACACAGGCAGTTCCAGAAAGCTCCTTCCTGCTGCCTTGCCAAATTGTCTTTGAGTCAGACACAGAAAGGAGGTTCATTTCTAATCCAGTTTACCCATAAAGGGCACCAACTTAATGGCAACTGTACCAGGGTTTTCTGAGATTTGAATACCTACCAGAAATTAAAATGAGACCACCAAATCCTTTCTTATTAAACTGTAGATAAGATACTTAAAATACTAATTACTGGCCAGTGATTCAGAAACCTGAAGGTCCCTATACTCAGGATTTTCAGTGGTCCTCAGAGCGTTAGATGGCTATAGCTCTTCAAAGTCAATGAGAATTTGCCACTGAAAAAAGAACCCAGACTAAAATGTGGTGCCAAAATTACACAGGAATAAGACATGTTATCACTCTGGAAAGGCATTGAAAAAAATACTGCATAGATTTAATACATTTTTAGGGTCAGAAGGGACCTCAGTAGATCATCAAGTCCGACTCCCCGCCCTGGGCAGAAAAGAGCGCTGGGGTCAGACGACCCTAGCCAGGTGCTTGTCCAGTCTCCTCTTAAAGACCTCCAGGATAGGAGAGAGCACCACCTCCCTTGGAAGCCCATTCCAGATTCTGGGAACCCATACCATGAAGAAGTTCTTCCTGACGTCCAATGTAAATCTGCTCTGTCAGTTTGTGGTCATTGTTTCTAGTCACCCCACAGGTCACCCTGGTAAACACAGCATCTCCTATACCTTGCTCCCCCCTCCCTCCCCTACCCCCGATAAATTTGTAGACAGCCACAAGATCACCTCTCAGCCTTTTCTTGCGGAGGCTGAAGAGATCCAGGTCCCTCAATCTCTCCACGTAGGGCCTTACCTGCAGGCCCCTAACCATACGAGTAGACCTCCTCTGGACCCTCTCAAAGTTATCCACATCCTTCTTGAAGTGCAGCGCCCAAAACAGGATGCATATTAAAAGGATTCTCTCCACATACATTTCCATGATAATTTAAATATTGTTTTAACACCTTGGGCCAGATTCTCAACTGATATAAATGTGTGACAGTCTACTGGCAGACAAGGTTCTTTGGGTAAATTTGATATCTTTTATTAGACCAAATCAAATTGTTGGAAAAATGCTTCTTTGCAAGCTTTCAGGTATAAATACCCTTCATCAGGCTGAGGAAGCATCTGCAGTTGGTGCGTACTCTTCCTGAATGGAATGAATAGCAAAGACTGGCATCTATTAAGATATGTGCTTTACATCAACCAGGAGTCTAGCTCTTCCTTGTAAAGTTCATCAATGAAAAAAATGGACCTTTGCAATGGACAGATAGTACTTTTCATCCTAACACATGGTGTCACATCACACAAATGTTGTGTTACCTTACTGAAGTTGCCTGAGTCTCATTCCCAACTACAACTGAGATGATTCTCCAAATTAGGTAAAGAGGCATTTGCAAATGTACTTACAACTTCATTGCAAATTATTCTATGACTTAAATGCAAATAAGATATATTACCCATTTACATGTATTAGAAAAGTTACCTTTTAAGGAAAGATATATAAACACTTGGGAGAGGCTGAAAGTAGCTGCTTTAAAGTGTGTTCTATTATTGACTAGATAAACCAAGTAAAATTGTATAGAAATATTGTTCATGTTAAGTTAAAAAAGAAACTTCAATTAATATCTTTCAAAAACGCAGCTATCCAAGTCTCCAGCTTTCCTCATGGTGATGACATGTACTGCTTTCTCAAAAATAAGGAGTCAAAGAGCTTTGCCTTCAGTCCATGTGAAGAAACTGTTTGCTTTGATCTAGTTTGTAATAATGAGGTGATTAACATCGGGAGTTCAGCTCTGAAAATGCCAACCTGTCTCCAGGGCTGCTAATACAGTCCCTTCAAGGGAACCTGGAGGGGGACTTTCACTGCTGACCTAACTCTGTCCCTACTAAACAGGCATGCAAGCTCATATCTGAATGCAGTACTGATGTCTTCCCACATTCTTTAGAGCAGCAGTTACATTAATAGGCCTGGGGAAAAAAAACTTTAGTGCAGTACTATTCCCTGTTCTTACATAATTTCAGAGTAACTAAGTGTAGCCAAATCATCGCTAAACAATCCATACCCTGAAGTTGTGGCTGAGGTTTCTATGTAGAGGGATTATTTCACTGAAATTACAAATCTCTGAAAATAAGAAGCCTGTATGGGGAATGTTGTCAACATTTTAACTACAACACTGAGACACGTGGGTCACATCACAGAAATTCAAAATTGTAATGCATCTTGGATATGAACACTGAGCAAAAGTAGTAGTGTAGGAACCTAAAACACAGTTCAACTAAAATACCATATTTTCTCACATATATCCCCCCGCTCCCCGAATATAACATACATACACCATTTTTTGGAAGGCCCAAGGAGGGAAAAAATCTTACTTTTTATTACAGGTAAGTCCCAGAGGTCTAAGGAGGTTGGGCCTGCAGGCTGCACTGTGGCATTAGGGGCTGGGGGTCATGCACTGTGGCCAGCCTGACCCAGTATGCTGGTGCTGGGACCACATGGCGGGACCCAATCCAGCCCATTGACTCTGGTGGTCCCTGGCAGGGCTCAATCCAGCACGCCATAGGAGGGGCCCAATCTGACATGCCAGTTCTGGGGCTACGTGCCACATCCAGCCCTGTTCCTTGGCTTTGGGACCACATGCTGGCTCTGAGGCCACATGCCAGGTCCGGGAACATGTTCTCAGTCGGCACAGTGCACCAAGTCTGATCATGGACCAACCCTGAGTGCCACCCTGATATGACATGTAGTTGGAGAGGGGATTCACTATGAATCCAGAAATTCGGTGGTTGGGGAAAGGAAGAAAGGGAGTGCTGACAGCATTAAATTCTATGGCTCCACGAGTTGTGGCAATTAATGCTGTCATCGCTCCTCTACCCAAAAAGTCTCCAGACCCATGGGGTACCCTTTTCCTCAGATATAATGTACCCAATTTTCCCCATCTAGTGGGGGGGGGGGGGGGGGGGGGAAGAGAGGAGAAAGGTACAGGTTGTATATAAGAAAATATGGTGTGTCCAGTCTGTACCAGTATCTTTAATTACATGTTGATTGGGGGGGGGGAGAATTCCTAGATAAGCATTTGTGTGCTTTCCTTAATTCAAACAACACTGAAAATATCCTCTTGGAAATTTTGAAAATGGAATGTTCCATGAGTCACCTGGCAGTCTTTGCTTTGTTAAGCTGGACTTCGAATTTTCCGAAACAATTATGACAAAATAAGCATTCTTCATAAGTTTAACTAGTTCAGCCAGGATGGGAAACATGACTGAAAGAGGCAAGTTGGTTTGATTAATTTCTGTGACAAGCAGCAAACAGAATTAATAAATTACCTTTGGTGGTGATGGCCAAAAAAGCGAACATCGACCTGATTGTCCTCTTTTTGCATGACTTTGGCTGGCCAAAATCCAAAACCTTTCATTTTGGCCCAAACCAGCTCATGATTAGGTATCTGGGGGTGTGGAAAAGATAAGGTTTATTTATTATTGGTTCTTAAGTACTATATTCAATATTGCAGCAAGCATTTCAGTGTAACATTATGCTAGTATCTTAAGAACATGCTTTCTCCTTACATCTAATGCTCTTGTTCATTTTTGTTTCCATACAATATACAGCATTTCTATGCTAAATATATTGCTTAGAACAAAGACAAAAAAGACAAATTCTGGAAAGGATGTAACCATCATACACAGAAATCCTAAGCAGTTCTAAAATTTAGCTTCTCTTCTTAACAGAGCTTTGATCCCAATAAGCTCCTTATAGTCTAGTGAAACCATTAAAACTGCCTGATAGAGTACATTGTTATTGCTTTGGATTCCACGTAATGATATGCTTATGCGGAATATCTGGTGTGGACAGTTTAAAGTATGCATATGAAACAAGTTATTCAGAGTATTAATAACACCAAAACTGCACTTATTTCTATGTAAAAAAGCAAACAAATAAAAATCTGTATCAACGACTTACGCAAGGATAGCAAAACCAATTGTCAGGACGTGCATTTGACAGATAGAAGCAGTTCTTGCAAAGCTGCAGTTCATCCAGCTGAAAAACACAAAGAAGTAAATCAAGCTATAGGCTACTCTGTGTAACCTTAATAGGGATACTAACTCAAGTACTATCACTTTCTATCCCTGCCTCCTAATTCTGTGGAACCACTTTAGCTTGATTGCAATTAGCTATTGATGTGCAAAAAAAACAGGCAAATTGCGAGTGGCAGAAAGGTAGCCCTTAGAAATGTTTTGTAAAGACAAAGATAAGGGGACTATTAATTGATTTGTAAAGGTTATATGATGAACAAAAAGAATTGGAATATTTAAGTGCTTTCAAAGCACTGAAATAATTTGACCATGGATATAGAGCAAATCTGACAGCTGTCCCTAATATCATTTGGCTGTCTCCTTTAATTTTTAAGTTGTCCATCTTGGAAAACAGTCAGAATTTGGCTTCAGGTCTGAATTAAATCTGATGAGGATAACTATTTCTAGTCTAGACATAGGTAAATATATTATTTGGAAACTAAAACTTCACTCTGGATTTCAACTTTCCATTGACTAATCAGCTGCCTTGCTCATAATCACTTGGGAGCTGAATTCATTGAGCAAGGGAATAAATATAAAATAAAATAAATATGAAATACAAAAAAGGGGCAATACTGTGTGTGTTTTCAATAGAACTCTAGCTATGGAGAAGGAAGAGAAAAGGAATTTGGAATCCACTATGAAAGTTCTGTATGGCAAAGTTAATAACTATTGCAAATAATTTATTTTTGTTTTAGGGGCAACTTATAGGAAGAAAGAAATAATTAGTTTACATATTAATGATACTGTCTCAAAACCAAATGGTTTTGTCTGTACCAAATCACTAGCTTCATCTGTTACTGCATTATTACCTACCTCATGGCATGTGTCTTTGTAAAGCATCCTAGCAATATCAGCTTGTTCACTGTCCGCTGTAAATGAAAAATAAATACATCACTAGCCACAATGTGATACCATTGCTCATAAGAATCTGTAAACACCACTGAGATACCTTTCATGCTGTGTGCGCTTTAAAAACCCAATTCAATATTTATGATAACTTTTCTCTTTTTAAATTTCCAACCATCCATCCTGTACTTCTCTGCATTCCTACTCCAATCATGTACATCTGTTTCTATAAATATTGCTGGGGACTTCTAAACCAGCTAATATGGTAAGTGTGTGTTTTTAGAAGAACAGTATGGCACTACTATCATTAAGAACTAATCCAGATTCTTCACTTTCTTTTTTAAACATTAATGAGGTAGCCTGTATGCTGCAATAGCCCTGCATGTTAATTTTTGCCATGATACCCTTATAAAGCACAAGATGTTATCACAGATTTATCATTGCTTAGAGAATTGTGGCATGCAGTTTATATGGGTTAAATCTAAAAGCTGTGCCTTGGGGTAAGGTTTTTACTTCCAATCACATGCCTAAAAATTTTATGTCTATATTAAAACATAAACAATTCAAGGACACTTCTTTACCTTTATCCTATGGGCTGGATCTACCCTGACTCTGTTCCATATCTCAACCCTAACCTGCAACCTAATCTGGAGCAATTTTTTCTTGATCTCTCCATTATAAGCCCTTTCATAATTATGGCCATTTGAAGACTGCCGTTTTTGGTCATTTCCAGAATGGATAAACAGGTAGCCAGCAAAGCAGTCAGATTCGACTGCCTCCTCCAAAATGCAGCTCAGTACTAGGTGCCTGTTGCTGGTATACCATTATTCTGTGGCAGCAAGGCATTTCTTTTATGCACCCAGCTATACTGGCTAAGTGGTGCTTTGAGCTGGTATAGGAAAAATCATCCCAAGAGTAAAATAAGTACCGGTAAAAGTACAGTTTTGGTAGCATAACTGTGTCTACCCTAGGCATCTACACTAGGGTTTGTCCTGAGAGGCTCCACTGGACAGACAGGTACAGATAAGGTCAGGTCTTAATTCAGACAGAGCCCTAAAGCTTTTGTCCCTTTGATTAGCTACAGACCTTGCAGGGGCCTTGCCTTCCCTTAATTAGTGAGGCCCACTGTCAAACCTAAACTGTTTTTTTCCCCAAGGTTTAAGATACCAATGTCCATTTTTTGAATCAAATCCATAACAAAAATAGTAAATGTAGTACTGTACCTCCATAGAAAATCACTGTGTTGTGTAGAAGCAGCTGAGCATCTGCTTTGAACTCCTCATAACTTCTGTACTTTCCTTCATTTACTTTCTACACAAAACAGAATACAGAGCTTTAAAATGTGCAGGCAGTGATGTGTTTATACAACACAAACTAATGTATAAACATTATACATGACCCTAATGTATATGGGTCTTTTAATGTAAAAGACCCATATGAGACAGACAAGGTCAGTCATTGTCATCCCTATTGCCCACCAACTTTCCTGTGAATGCTTATGGCAGGGGCTGGCAACATTTTTAGGTCACAGGCGGAAATGCTCCAGCGCAGGCTGGAAAGCTTTGATGGTGTGTCAGATGGGAGGTTTCCTGTGCCCACACCAGGGCTGGGAAGCAGGGATCTGTGCCCAAGCTGCTGCTGCCACTTGTCCCCAGCACCCTACCCCCAGCTGCAGCACAGGTGCAGATGGAAGCTGCCCAGCACTGGCTCAGTTCCCCACCAGTTCAAAGCTGTGCCCACACTGCGGCCAGCTACCAGGAGGTAGGGAGAAGTGGCAATGATGCGGGCTCAGATTCTAGCTGCCCTGCCTCAGGGCAACTCCTTACAGCCCAGCCCCAGTGTGGATGCATGCAGAGGTAAAGAGTCCAACTTTATGATTCAGGGCCTCCATGGTTGTCTACCTCTAGACTGTAGCATTCTGCCTCTTAGCTTCTCAGTACTGGTAAGACAGGTTCAAGTCTGAGATCCTGAGAGGTAGAATGGATGCTTTAAAAGTAGAATGGATGCTTTAAAAGTAAATTAAGGCGTGATTTTTCCATCAGTCATAAAAAAGAGTAAATCTGGAGTAACTTCATTCAGTTTCATGACACATAACGGAAAAGAATATGGCTCAGAGCATTTCCTCAAACAAAGATTGGCTCCTATGAGAACTGCATTTCACATCTAAGTTTCAATAATTTATTGTGCTTTCCGTTCAGCATTGAGCTCCCATACACTTTCCAGGTTTCTTGTGTATCAACCATTGCTTTCTGATCAAGGTGGATTGAAATACCTTTCACAGTTCCTAAGAGACACTCTTTAAACCAGACAGATGTTTGCACTGAGCCACAAAACATTTTTTCTGATGCTCAAGCTAAGCATGCATGACCATCTGTACATAAGCAAACCTTAAGGAAACAAAAATATTCTCACGTGTGCTATCACCAGCTAAATTGACATGGTGATAACACCTTCAAGAATTTTAATGTAGACAAGACTGTGTCCTCATCTAGCATTTTACCAGTGCCAAATAAACTTGCTCTGAGAAAACCCAAATAATCAGTAAAATGGTCTACTGTCTACTCTGGGACTCCTGTGCTGTCACCACAGGAGAACCGCAACTTGTAGTACTCTCAAAAATTGTTAATCCAGAGACAGCTTGAACATGTGTATCAAGAGCACAGGAAATTTAAGTTTACAATACTCTAGGAAAATCTACAATCTTAAAAATAAATACAACCGCATGCCGTATTATTTTGGATGTGATACCGACTACAATATTTATCTTCATCATGTGTAATTCTTATCTCCTTTGATTCAGGGATCTGATCCTTCTTAAGAAAAGATTATAGTTTTACCAGTATTCTATTTTGAAGTAAGTAACATAAAACAGATGTTTCACGTGATTCTTATTTTGGGGCCAACCAAATGTCTGACTTTTTATGAATCATTCAGATATCTCAGAAGTTACTTCAGCGAGTAAGAATGGAGTATTTGATTAAACATTTTCTTTCTGATTGCTTATTCCATAACCATTGTACATAGTGCCCAGATTTTCAAACTTAATGCGTTTTCAAACTTTAAATAAATGGCCTAATTCCTAAAATGTGCTGAACTTTTACATATCCAGGTGGAGTCACTGGGATATGAGGATGTTCAGAGGTCCCCATATAATGATCTTTGTGGCTACCTTGCTTACTCAAGTTTGATATTTCTAGTCATTGTGTTTAATACTAAAGACAATTCTAGAGTAGGGAACAGAATGAGTGTTGATCCACAGGGTTTAATCTACACCCTTAAATACTAAAAATTAAGCAAAATTTCTTTATAAAATCAGAAATTATGTTATTGTACCTCTTGTATAGTAGGAACATCAACAGCTGAATGCACCAACCTCCTATACATTGGGTGTTTGCTGTCCTTTCCTTTCTTGTTCAGGTCTATAGCCTGGAAAGACAATGAGATAGTACAAGTTATTGCTTTAGAAACTGGTTAAAATGCAAGCAAAACCCAACAAAGTGACAGAGCTCTAAGTACTTTAGCTAGGGTGCCATATTCTGGCTGCCTAATGCATACAAGTGCATGTTGAGTGGGGTTGTTTTTGTATCTCTGTACAAGAGGAAGGGAGTCCATTTCATAGGAGTTGTGGGAACCTGGCACAAGGCACTCTCAACAGAATTACAAATATTCTGCACAACGAGACACAGGCTGTATGTGCTGAAAGTTTCTATGAGTCCCTGGGAAGAAATGTGATGAGTGACTCTTTTCCCCCTGTCCCCAAACTTGTCCCTGGAGACTCATGCACGAGACTAACTGTAATATGACCCTGGATGACTATAATGCACACACTTAAAATACTGAACATGAGGTACAGTTCCAGATCTACAAGTACTCTCCTGATGTAACTCAGCTGCATGAAGAAGTGTCATTGTGATAGACTCACCCGCTCCTTCATACGAGAGACAATAAAACGTAGGTAGGTGCTCATCTCTTGCTTGCTTGTGTTTTTCTTCTTAATGCTCTGTTAAAGAATAAAAATAATATTTTTAACATGTGACTTGAAAAGAATGAATTTACTAAAAAATATTGAGAAAGTTAAATTTGCCTCACATTAAATCATATAGTTAGTTCTCTTCTTGGAAACTGACAAAGCTAATGCACCAAAGTTACAGTCATTTATCATGGTGTTTCTTGGAATTATGTACTTTCCTGAGGACTTAAGCTAGAAAAGAACTGTGTGCTTTATCTCCATTTATATCCTTAATGATTCATCAAAGCCACTCACACACAAAAAAAGTGCAGGATTACTTTGTTTTATTAGAACAAAGTAATGAGAGAAAGAATTTTAGGAAGCAGTTTTAAAATGTAGTATTTAATGGTCTATTTATTTAACACGGCATTCATACCTACTAAAAGAAAGAAAGAGACTTTTTTTTTTAAAAACACTCTCTGCCTTTTCCAAATTATGTGCTTACTAGGCAGAAAGAAACTGTTTAGGGTGAATTTAAGTATAGTATTGCCTTATTCAATAAAATCTCACTTATTCAGTAAAAACTCACAGAGCCAGTTTCACTGCTCTGGAACAGAAAGAGGCTGTTGGTTTTTGTGGCTCAACCACCATGCAATCTAATCCAGATTCCCAAACACAAGTCGTCTGTTTCTTTTCAGGACCTCAGACACCAGACTTTAGCTATCCCTTAGAGAGATATTACTATTACCTCCACCCATTTTGTCAGTGTGGGCTAATGGGAAACATTATACCAGAAGATTGTTTTTAAAGGAAAATAGGTTTGCTGTAAACATTTGGCTAATCAGCGTTTCCAACTCTGCACCACAATGGTTGCTAGCGGCTCAGTACATTCCCTGACAACAGCTAACAGTAAAGTGATATCCTCCTTTTTTTTTTTGCTCTTTTCCTTGACTACAGTAGTTCTTCAATTAATTGTGGCGCTGTTCCGAACAGAGACTGCAAAAACAGCAAAGTGGGGTTCCAGGTTTATTATCCTTCAATCACTTGCATATGTTAACTTTACAAGTAAAAAGATGTTTTTGCTAGCTATCAAGTACTAGGTAGAGTTGTACCTTCTTCTCCAACACGTCATCTCCAGAATATAATTCTGCAGACTAATCAAGCTCAGAATTATACCTTGCTACTTCCCAGGTCTTCAAATGACCTCAGTAACACCTGTGCAAACCTGCAGTCTTCAGTAGGGCTTGCAAAGGTGCAGCTGAGAACAGAACCCAGCTCACACCTTCTTAGCTAGGTCGGCTTAGAAAACTAACAAGGAGATAAAAAAGCAGTAAAAGCCTTCCTCTCCAACTGAAGTACGCAGGTATTTCAATGAATACTCAGAGGAAGGAGATATGTTGAACACAGATGTACTATTTTTCCATATTTACTTTTCAGAAGATAATTACACTTTAACACAAAGAACAGAGAGGGTTTGACTGAGCCTCATTTTCCCTTCCCTCCTCCTGAAGGCATTGGCAGCTTAAGAAATGTAAACTCCTTTTAGACCAAGTGTCTTTGACTTATAGAATATATATTTTTTTTTTTTTAAAGAAGTATCTGAAATTGGAGACATTACTTCAGACAAAGCCATGTGTGCTATATAACAGTGTGGACAGCCTACTAGATGGGTTTATAACAGTAACAATTTATCTCAGCATCCTATGCCATGTACTTTTAATTGCTGCTACAGGCTAACCGTGCCATTTTATTGTACTATCCATGATAATACTAACACTATTTTCCTCACAAGGTGCTGCAACCATGAGAAGGAATTTACTGCCTTGTTGAGGATCAGCACAAGGCCTGTCCAGCAGTTGGCCTGACCAAGCCTTACTTACAGCGCTGAAGTGGTTCACAGGCCTTACTCCAGCCTCTCCATAGGAACGAATTTCACCCATAGAGCCCATTTGCATTTACATCCGGCTGTACATATCTCCATGTTCAATTTTACCTGCCATGAACCTTCCCAAACTGTTTAAATCTATCTTCCCTGCTCAGTTTTGCATAAAACAATATTTCTACTGCATGGAAACCTAAATGTGCATTAAAAAAATAACTATGAACTTGCTGCTGTCATTTTGTCATTTCAGGCAATGGAGTGCAATATGTGTGCTTGCTAATGACACAGCATTTTAGTAGACTGAAACTCATTAGGACACAATAAAATTCACTTGCATAGCCTAGTCTCTCTCCACTTCCCTTCTTGACATAGTCTCAAATTCATTATATGCTGAAAATATCCTAGAATTAATAATGTGAACCTTTTTTCATGCCTTGGTGGGCAAGACAGTTCTGTAAAGAGGATGTATAAGATAAATGGGCTGCAGTCTTATACCTCAGGTTTTAATAAAAGATTGAAGTCTAGGTTTGTGTCATTATCTATGTTAGCAATTAATATTATTATCACAAGCAATGATGAAAGCCGTTATAATTACCTAGCCAGCTGGTGTAAAAGCAGCATCTCCCCAATGCCCTAAACCAGTTATTTTAGGAAAAATCGGATTCCCAGGTTTCTCTGCTAAAAATCTGAAGGTAATGAATTTAAGTAATGAATGTCTAGGATCCAGCAAAATGTCTTTTACTGTTGGCTTAGTTCTCTGGCTGTACAATTTCAAAACACCTCTTGTACAAACTAAGTTATAATTAAATGCTTCCTGTCACTTTTCTACAAAGGCCTGCTCTCACACAGTTTGGAAACTACAGTGGGATAATGTGTTCATTATAAAGGCTTCTCAGAATTTTAAAAAGTGATATATTCTTATGTGATGCAATTTATTTAGTAATTCTGTTTTTTGCTTATAGCCCAAGTATTCGATACACGATTTCATAAACTAAACAAGGCTGGTGGTTGGTGGTTTACAACGGAAAACCGTAACGTGATGATAGTACTGTCTGTGATAGGCAATGCCCTTTCCACTCCAAGACAGCATATAATCGCTACCTCAACAGGGAATAAGATTGCTAGGCTCTAGTCATTGCTGTTGTTCAGATAAGACCCCCCAAAAAAGTGTGCGTATGTGTGTGTGTGTACGTGTGTAAAAAGGAACTGCATGGTACATTTCACAAGAATTAGGAGTGCTAGCTTCAATGTTCTGGCTAAATTAATACCTTGACAATTACATTTTCCTACCGAAACAAGTCTACTGTTTCCTTTACATATAGTGTAATGTTTTTTCCCCCTATCCTTGAGCACTATATGAATTTACTATTGAGCTCCACTTTGAAATGGACTACATTTCAGTGGTGGGTGAAGTGATTATTGCAAAACTAATGGTAATATTTTCAAAAGTATCCAGTTCATTTTCAAAAGTGACTGAGGCAATGAGGTCTAGGTTCACAAGGAAGACTTAGATGCCTTTGTGTACATGCTTATTTAGACGCCACTGTTATTCACAACACCCCGCCCCCTAAGTTTCTGCTGATAAAGTCCTCTACGTGCTTACTTCACATGGAGGACACAATTGCTGCAATCCCGAGCATTTCAGTGCCCTACCAAAGAACGGAATTCACAAGTCAGGCACCTAGGCTCCCTATGCAATGGGGTGAGCCAGGCAGTGAAGGATGGGATTCATGACATTCAGTACTATGAGGATCTATCTGCATGCTTGATCTGGAAAGAAGGCAGGGAAGCCACCCTGAGAGCACCAGCTCCCCACTACCACTTTCAAGATCAGTCTCCAGCATGCTTCAGGGAGGTGGGGGAGTGCCTTCAGCATAGTTCCACTGCTAGATTTGGGCATTCCAGTATTGATGAATGCAAAGTGAGTGTGGATGGGTTGGCACACTGAAGAAGTGTCATAAATATGTCTAGCTTTACTAGCCAGCAGCAAATGCTGAGAAGAGAATGTGACATCTGCCTCCCTCAATCACATTGAAATGATATATCTTTGACACCTGGGGCACATCTACACATCACCCTGCAGCAATGTAGCAACATGCTATGTCGCTGTACAGTGCACTACGGTGACGAAGTGATCACGCTGCCATAGTGGCGTGCTCCCCCAGTATCATGCGCCGCTACCGTGACACAGCAGTGAAATCCAACTGTGCACTGTGCGCATGGTGCAGTAACCGCCCATACTGCACCGTGCTTTAGTACTTCCAATGACTACAGAATGGGCTGGATGGGTGCACCCTCTGCCCTCCAGGTGAAGTTGCCCTGCTGGGCAACCAAGCACAAAAGATCCATACAATCAATAAGTCTCTAATGTAAAATGTACAATCAAAGCATGAATCAAACTACACTACCAGAGGAGTAGTGCAAGTACTGAGCTACAAAGCATGCTGCTATTTTCTTGCTTTTCTTCTGGACTCATGACTTTTGCAATCATAGCTGCCCAGTTGCCCAGCTTCAACAGAAAAGCTACAGAGGGACTCCAGAAAAACTTAGCCCATACCCACTCAATGAGGGCACTGTCCTGAGAGCTACTATCATTGCTCCCACCACCACCACCTCCACTCTTCCCGTTTCCCTCAAGAAGCAGGCCTAGACATTGTGAATTGCAAGTGACCCCTGCTGTTAGGCACACATCCTCAGGAGCAGGACTAGGGATTTGTGAATATCAAGTGAACAGAAGTGCCTTATGAACAATATGAGTCAGGCACCTAAGGTCCCGAAAGAGCTAAGCATTCATATATCCCCACTCCATGCCCTAACATTTCCCATCAACTACTTCTAAATGCTTCTGGCCTTTCTGAATTGTCCCTTTGGCCTGCCTCTCCCTATCAACTGTACTGATATCAACTCAACCACACTGAACTGCCTTCCTAGGGCGAGACATCTTTTTTTGGCATTCCTATACCTTGCCACCTGTAGAACCAATCTGAATTTGGGCCAGACTTTTCATCCTTTTTTTTTTTTTAAAACAAACTAAAAGAGACTTAATTGCATTTGGTTATACTCACAATTTGACCTGTTTTATTCTCTGTATAAACTCCATATAGATTTTTGTGTGCATCTATTCTTCCAAAACAAATGACTGAGAACTTTCCCCAGGTTTTTCTTCTCCGTTTCTCTAATAGGTGCAAATTGACAGCAGTGGAAAACTGAATTCTTCCTTTAATCTAGTCAACAGGCACCAACACAAGTGCAAGCTTTACACATCCCAAACTGATTTAATTTGCTTTAACCCGGTCCTGAAGGGGCTATTTCAATAGAGGTGAAAGGCTAATCCAATCTCTGTATCAAATTGACACCTGATATCTCTGTTATACCTTATCTAGAAAGACCTGCTCTGAAAGCATGGATTTATTTCAAGTAAGCCAATGATCAGTCTGCAGTCAGTGACAATTTTCGAAGTACCAATCTGAATATTTCAGATACCAGACAGTTCTCAAGGTACGTTGTATATGAACCCCTGTATCCTGTTACCAAAGCTGAGAACTATCTGGTATCCCAAATATTCAGACTGGCACTTCAAAAATAGAAAGCTAGAAATTCGGCACTCATATGAATGTCATAGAGAAAGGCATTTCAGCAAGGAAATGAGAAACAAGGACAGCCAAGTTTCCGAGGGATTGTTGTAAACAGAGTAGAGGGAAAAATAGTTTAAAATTTTGAAAACATCCTTGACAGAATCCTTTATCAAATGATTCTGAGTAGTCAGGTGTGCAAGATAAAGCTGCACAGGTCGAATGATGCAGCACAACCAATAATTGTGAACAGAATAATCCTAAAATTTGCTAACCCTGGCAGTATTACAGGGGCAATCTTCACATAGGAATGAACTGTTTTTAGATTACTTATCTAATATATTAGGTTTCAAGCATGTTTTTGCTTCACTTGTGTTAAGAGCTTTGAGATCCTTGGAAGAAAGCACTACATACTGTTATCAGAATAGAGTATCCTTAGACATGTATATCTTTTTGTCCTAGATATTACTTCTCTTGAATGTACATATTTCCTACTGATAATGCAAAGTAAATCCCATTGCCTTTACACAAGATAGCTAAGCTCTCATGCCCTTTGGACATCAGCCACTGATCTCTAAACAGGATTCTCTCTGACTCTTAGAATAAAATTAGAATAGAGCTTTACCTCTTAAGAGATGAGAGTAGAAAAAAACAAAAGAATTCTCAATTCTATGGTTAGGGGTATGGGAGTTGATACCACCTCATACCTCCAGAACCTAAAAAATCCAACTAGTCATCTTTGGAGAGCTAAAGTGAGAAGTGGGTCTGATTAGGTAAACAGAAAGCCAGGGATGCTATTAGGGTGTCACTGGCATTTATACAAGAGAACAGAATTTTTTTGGGAAAGCAGCAGCTGATTGTAACCTATTCCAATGAGTGAGGTGAAGATCTAGGAAGCAAAAAGCAAACCAATTACAAAATCCAAAATATGTGTTCTTAAGAGTTTAAAACAATGGAACAGTAGACACAATTACATCTCATGTGGGAGAAGATGACTTTCACAATATTTTCTTTGTGGCAAAAAGTTTGTTCAATCTCATCATTGTAAACTAAAGGATTTCAAGATCCCAAGATGAAAGTAGTTTATCTTAAAACTAGCTGCCCTTTGCGTATGTGTGTAGTTTCGTGTAGAAAACTTCCTCTCCATGTGTAATTTCAAGCCCCTTTTTGTACTAGAGCAGCAGTGTGTATCTGGTCTAATTCCTATTTGGGAATTGTGTGTGTATCCACAATGAACAAAAAATGGATTTATTTAAAAATTACAAGGTTTGTGGAACTGCTCTGGGGTGCATTCCTTGCTTTCACCCTGCATGATGAAATTAAATGGGCAACAGTGCAATTTTGGGATCTGTTCTGTATGTTCATATGGAAAATATTAATCTGCCTTTTCTTTTTCATTATCTCATCCATCTTTCCTGACCACTTCCTTTCCTTCTAGTCCTTTCCTTTTGTTAGAATGGACTTTGCTTTTTTAACACTTTCTTAAGTCTGCAGCTCTCAAGTTGTCTGGTTTCAACAAATCAGAAGGCACTGTGCTTCTACAACCAATGTCAGGATGATAGCAGTCAGAAGGAATGGCCTGTCTCCTAAAGAAAGCACCTTAAGAAACGTGCAGTCTTCAAAACGTGCAGACACTTATCTGTAAAGAGTCTCGGTACACAAAACTACACTGCATATTGCACTGATTCCTGCATCTTTATAGTGTTTTCAGTTAAAAGTTTAACAGGGGCCCCGGGTTGGCTGGTAAGAAATTTCAAGGGCTGACAGTAGCCCCTTGACCAAACGTTTGGGAACTGTTGATCTAGGGAATGTGCATGGTCTGTGCACCGAAAGAAAGTGCCATAAAGACATACAAGAGCTAGTTTTGCTCAAGCTAGCTCCAGAAGCAGAGTAGTAGGGGTGTGCGAAATGGGCCGTATTCCATTCGGATTCGGCTTGAACCGCGGGGGACAGTGATTCGATTCACTGATTCAGATCACTGTCCCAATTTGGTTTGACCGAATCTGAATCGAAAGATTCGATGCTGATTCAGCAAATCAGCGATTCAGCCATAGACACAGCATTAAATGTTTTTTCTACGTACCCCGAAGTACCAGGCGCGGCTCGTGAATGCTGCGATGGTAAGGCAGATGGAGCGTCCCACAGAAAGGCCCCCTGCGTGCTTAGCAGCGGATCCAAAAATGGACTGGAAGTACTTCCGGTCCACTTATGGGTCCACCGATGAGCGTGCAGGGGACCCCCCCCCGCACTTGCTGGCTCAGTGATTGGCCACAGGGGGACCCTGGGTGCCTCCCCAGACCCAGGAGACACCAGTCACCAAGCCAGCGTACCCCGTGGCAGACCCAAAAGTGCTTCTGGTCCACTTCCAGGTCTGGTGCCGAGCGTGCCGGGGATCCCCCAGCGGCTCCTGTGGGATGCTTATACACCCCACCATCTCACCATTCACAAGCCCACCATCGCAGCGTTCATGAGCTGCCTGGTACCTTGAGGTATGTAGAAAAAAATTTAAAGCTGTGTTTATGTCCAAATCATCAAATCTCTCCGATTCGATTTGGAGGGTTCCAATTCAATTTGGAGAGATTAAAGAGTCTCCTGATTCGATTCGGATTTGGAGATTCAGCTGCCGAATCAGGCCGAATCTCCACCAAATCAAGTCAGCGACCAAAGCTTTGCACAGCCCTACAAAGTAGCTGTATGTGTGCAGTGCTGCACCAAGCTAATTATCTCTGCTGAAAAGTAGCTGTTATTACATGGGCCGCAGCATTGTGCTAATGCAGTTACACTACTCCTATTTCCAGAGCTTGCACATGTGGAGCTAGTCTGGACAACTCTGCACAGTACTGTAATTTTCTATGTAG